TCATTGATGGTTTGAAGTTGAGACTGTCTGAGAATAGGATTGCTACCCCTGCATTTTTCTGAGGTGCTGGGGCATGTAATATTGTGTTCCATCCTTTGACTTTCAGCCTATGAATGTCTTTATGAGTTAAATGTGCTTCTTGTATACAGCATATTGTTGGATTTTGTTTCCTAATCCACTGTACCAGTCTTTTTCTCTTAATTGGTGAATTGAGTCCATTTACATTGATGGTTAGAATTGAGATATATTGACTTACCATTGACATGTTATTTACCTGTTGTCGTTTACTCCTTTTTCTCTTGTGTTTAATTGCTTGTCCTATTTAGTTGGTTGCTTCCAATCTCATTCATGGAGTTCTGATCATTTTGTTCCCTCTCTAGAACATCTTTCAGTAGCCTGTGTAGGGTTGCCTAGTCATCATGAAGTTCTTTAGTTGTTCTTTGTCATGAAAGTATTTCACTTCTTCATCAAACTTGAGAGTTTTGCAGGGTATAGTAGTCTGGGCTGGAATTTGTTTCCATAGAGGACCTGAAGTACTCTGCTCCATGTTCTTCTTGCCTTCATGGTTTGTGAAGAGAAGTCGGCTGTAATTCTGATGGGTTTTCCTTTGAATGTGATCTGCTTTTCTCTAGTGGCTTTCAGTATATTATTCTTGTGCTGAATTTCTGGGATCTTAACTATTATATGTCTCGTTGTGTTTTTCATTGGGTTGAGGTTACTTGGCATTCTGTATGCTTTGGTTACCTGAATGTCAGATTGTTTCCTGATTATTTTGTTCTGCATCCTCGTTGTTTTTAAGAGATCCTTTCTTATCTTTTCACTAGCTACACCAGCATCTTCAAGACCTGAAACTCTGTCTTCACTTTCACTTAAACGGTTTTACAAGCTTGTGAGTGAGATTTTAAGTTTCTCTATATCTCTTTGACTCTGCTTCATGCGATCTATTTCTTTCCTGTATTGCTCATTCAAGGAATCCGTCATTTTTCTAATCTCTATTTTTTTTTTATCAGTATCTTCTTTAGAAGCAGTTATTCTTTTAATGCAGTGTTTTCTTCAGATTGGGTTTCCTCCCTGTTTCTGTAGTTGATTCTTTACTTCAGATGCTATGAGTTCTGAGAGTTCTTTTTTTATTTCAGAAAAGAATTCTGCTCTGAGTTCCTCTATAACTTTCTGCTATTGCTTATTTACTATCGATGCTATTAATTCATACATTTGAGCTGAGCTAGTAGAAAAGAATTCCACTCTGAGTTCCTCTATAACTTTCTGCTGTTGCTTTTTTACTATCGACGCTATTAATTCATACATTTCAGCTGAGCTAGTGTCCTCTGCATTTGTTCTGGGTGGGCATTGGGTTTCCTCCGTGTTTCTACATTTGATTCTTTACTGCAGGTGCTATTAATTCAGGGATTTCTTTTTTTCATTTCCAGTCTGAGTTCCTCTATACCTTTCTGCAGCTGTTTCTTTATTTCAGAAGCTGTTGATTCATTGATTTCAGCTGTGTGGTTCTCAATTTGTTCTGTGTTAGTGTCCTCTGCACTTGTTATGGGTGGGCTTGGGGTCTGAGATTGCATTTTGCTCCTTCTTATTGTCATTTTGTGTAGTGCTTTGGTACAGTTATAACCTTAGTACCTACTGAAATTCAGGTGCAGATCTACAAAGTTTGGATTTATCCTGCTGTGCCTGGCTTGGGTCTGGCTGCTGTGCTCAGCTCCATCCTGCTGCTGCCCTTGGGAGTGATCCTGTTGTGCCCCTCTGGCAAGATGTTCTGCTCCTGGACTAGCTGGGTGGCTTTGTCCCCTACTCTCTCTGCAGGGATTGCAGCTGCAGGTTTCACCCCAGGCCTGTATGCCAGGCCTGAGCTGAGTCTGGAGGGGATAAGGTGGAGAAGGGGGGAAAGGAAGCTCTCCCACACACTCACTGGGGTCTGGGCTAGGGCTGGATCTGGAGGTCCCCAGAACACGGCAGAAATTCTCACTTGGCGGGCAGAGGTGGGGGGTGCTGCAGAGTGGTGGAGGGGGTCCCAAGGGGGTGGAAGAGGGTCTCACCCACACTGCGCCTGGGCTGGGACTGCCAGGTCCCACCGGTGCAGGGTAGTAGGAAGCTCTCCCACACACTCACTGGGCCTGGGCTTGGACTGGATCTGGAGGTCCCCAGAACAAGGCAGAAATTCTCACTCAGCGGGCAGGGCAAGGGGGTGCTGCAGAGTGGTGGTGCGGTCCCAAGGGAGTGGAAGAAGGTCTCACCCACACTGCGCCTAGGCTGGGACCAGCAGTTTGCACCAGCGCAGGGTAGCTGGAAGCTCTCTAAAACATTAACTTTAAAATTAACCCAAAACTTTTTAAAACTCACTGATAAATATAAATGTTTATAAAAACTATCATTTTTAATAAAATTCTTATATTTCTAAGTCTTTAGGTACCTGCGTTTTATGAGATTTAGGACCTTCTAGGTTGAGTTAAGAAAGTTCCCAACCAGCTGCGAACCTGTCAGCACATAGTCTCAGAACTGATATAAATGATTGTATGTAAAAGGCCTTTGTACAGCATTTGCGCTCTCTCTCTAGGATCAGGTAGCAGCACCGCCACTAGGTGGGAGTGATTTCCCACAAATCCAGCCTCCGGCCTACAGAGTGAATGTCAGCGTGTGTCCCATGGTCTCTAGGAAAGGCTGTTTCAGCGGCTTGCTACTTTGGGCCCAGGAAAACCAGCAGGCCAAGAGTAAAGGAGCTAGACTTCTCAGATTTGTGATTAGAAATCACTGAGGAAAAACCACAATAAATGTCTCTGTCAGAACATGATTCTGCAAGGCCTTACTTGTTTCAGGAGAGCAAAGCAGTGTTTCACATCAAAGTGGCCAGCGGTAAAACACCTCACGGAAGAGGAGTACAGGGAGCAGGCCGAGGTGGAAACAGCCCGAGGTCTGGAGGAGCTGCGCCAGGCCTGCCGCCAGCCCAACTTCCCCACATGGCTGGCCGTGTCCAGACTCCAGGACCCTAAGAAGTAAGCCCTGCTCAGCTGCTCCAGCCCCAGCTTGAGTGTGAATTATTTTGAAACAATGGTAGCGTGGGACGGCGCTTCAGCTCAGAGGCAGATGAGTGGAAGTTGTCGGAATCCTCTTCAGTTCACTGGCCTCACTGTAGGGTGGCCAGTGCCCAAGTAAATACTGATCTGCTGGCAAGTGTTGATCTTATGGGAGATATTGACACGATAGTAGTGAATAATAAGCCTCTGTGTCCAAAAACTAGTAACAAGAAGGAGCCAGCTGCAAGAGTAGGCACATTTGGCTGCCTGGACTGCCTTTTCCTGTGGCTGTCACACGTGCCGTTCCCCCTTTATTCCTGGAGTAGAAATGCCATTCTCTATGGAAACAGCTAGTGGCATTAGAGGGGACAAGTAGCAAAGCTGTATTGCCTCCTGTATAAACCTTTCTGTGCTAATATTAACTTTCTTTAAGAACCAAAAACTGTTATTAGATTTGCAGCCTTTGTTCTGGGATCCAGCCACCTGTCGCCTAAGGAAGTGAGTCTGCACGACGCGCAGTACGGCCCCGGCGGCGCCTTCCTGGAGGAGCAGCTTTTTAACCCACAGGCTGACGGGCTCCCTGCAAGTTAACCTGACGCTGGCGAGGACGTGCGCCGGGCAGGGGTGCTGACAACCTCGCGCAGAACTGCTCTGCGGGCAGCTGTGCGGGAGGAGCCGTACTGGAAAGGAAGATGACCTAGCTGGGAAGGACTTGGCATTCGTGGCAACTCCTGCTGCCTGCTGTCCTGCTTCTGTGACAGGCAGTGCCCCTTGCCTGCCTATGTGAAGGCTTTCACTAGGAACAAAGAACTACGTTGCCCCTCGGGGGACAGTCAGTGTGGCAGTGCCTTCCTTGTCAACACCAGGCACTCGTCCTCTGTTAATCCCCTGAACCTGTGTCACAAGACCGAGTTCCTCCCCAGACAGCTCATCAGTATCTATGCTGGAAGAGACCTGGGCAGGCTGTTTCAGTGTTCCGTACACAGTTCTCGTGTGAGTCAGGGATTCTGAGGTCAGTGGAGATCAGTGCAAGGTTAATTGAATGTACTGCAAGACTTCTCAGAGCCCTGATGCTGGTGTCCACTGTGACTCTACTAAAAGGGCGAAGTCATGCACGGTTTCTGAGTGTGACCACAGAATCCTTTTTTATGGGGTTGATATTCCTTGGAACACAGGATTAGAAAATGCTCCATGATTAGGATTGCAATGTGGGGGAGTTAAACAACTTGTTTAAGAGCAAAGAGGTAAGCAGAGGCACTACCGGCAGAGTTCCAGCCCTGGAGGTCCCCTCACCTGGAGAAAGAAGCCGCCTTCAGACCCAGCCGAGGGCAGCCCTGCCGCCAGGGCCTCGCGGTGTGGGCTTTTTATCTTTCACTGTTCAACAGTGGCCGTCTGGCTATTTAATAACTGATAAAAACATTTCTCAAGATTATATTTTTGATAGGACTTCTATATGCATTCATAAATGACAGAAGTTAAATTATTTTTGTACATTGCAATTGAAGGCATCTACACTTTTATGACATTGAGTTGCTTTTTAAAAAGTTTTATAGCTAGATATGTTTGTAGTGATGTCCTGCAAAGCAGACATGTGATATTCTTTACACAATTGTGTTTGGTTTCTTAATCCCAGAGTGAAATAGGCCTAAGTTCTGACCTGGAGGAAAGGAGGTCAGACAGGCGTGGGGTTGGGCACAGTGGAGAGAGCTGGGGCAAAGGCGGAGCAGAACTGATACTCAGAGAATCCAATGGCAGGGACCTGCAGGATGAGGAATTCCTCTTGGTAAGAGAAGGGTCCTGGGGGAGCAGCCCTCGGGGAATGTTGTCACTGTTGATGTCCTGAGCCACACTCGGCAGTGCTTTTTCCCCTTGTCAGCTCAGAACTTGCTAAGCTGATGTGCAAAGGTGGTTTCCTCAAGCAGGATGTCAGTTCCATAGTCCTGCTTTTGTGAGACATCATTTAATATCCAGAACCTTCTTTTTGTAAGCCTCACTGCACGCGCTTGGCTCCTTCACAGAGACTGCTAAACAGTCACTTTGTGAGGATGACGCTTACAGGACCAAGCAGGAGTGCTACATCATTTTTCTTAGAGTTGAATCTGATTTTATTTTTATAATTGTATTTACTGGTGATGTTCATGTGCAAGATAGAGCAATGCTGGTGCTTACCCACCTCGCCTCCTGAGAGGCGTGTGTGTCCTGCACACTTTGGGTGTAAAGTGAGTGTTGGCAGGAGGGGACAGCCCCTGGGCCCTGTGACCCGGGCCATGCCACGTGACCGCCACAGCGAGTCTCGCACAGGGGCGAGAAGATACAGCCTTCCTTCCGGGATGTGGGTTTTCATGTTTGTTTTTAAAACATATCATGGATTTGCTGGTTTCTGTTACGTGAGCCTCGTGAGCAGCTTCACAATTAAAGGCGGCACTCACCCTGTTTCTTGGCGTCTCTAACCTGTTTTATTTCAGATGCAATGCAGTGTTCCAGCCCGAATGCCTACCAGACGATGTTCAGATTTTCCTCTTTGCCTTCCTCCCTCGTTTTCTCTCTGTCCTTGCCTTTCTCTGTCCTGCTAAAGGTCTTGGAGCAGTTTAAAGGGCCATGCAGTCAGGTGGCTGTGGCCCCCGCCCCACAGGGGCGCCCCGCGGCGGAGGTGTGGAGTTAGAGCCCGGCAGACAGAACCGCTGTGGTGTCTCCGCTTCCTTGAGATGCCTCACAAAAGCCTACTGTTGTTAGCAAATTGGGCTGTTGACACGTGTGGGTGACACAGCGTTGATGGCCAGAGTAAAAGAGGTCCTAAATGATCATCATTCAAATGTTACTTAAAACGTTCTTTTTAAAAACATTTTACATATGACAAAAAATGCCTTGTGAATTTGCTATACAATTTGCCAATACTGCTTAGGGCTAAATTATAGGGGAGTGGCCATCTGACATTTAGGGAAGTATTTTATTTATTTATTTATATTTTAGGGAAGGGTCTACAGATCAGACTCATAGTGATCCGCCTGTTTACAGCCTCCCAAGAGCTGGGATTACAGGTGCGCCACCACCCCGGTCTCCATTGCTGTCTCAGCGCGCCCCGGGGGCGGGGCCGGCACGCCAGGCCGAGGGATCAAACCCCTGGCCCCTGCACCTGCTTGTAGCCACTTTAATCTGCTGAGCTATTTGGCTGACCGTAGGGCAGGATTTGAATTTATGGCTTTTAAAATCTAGAAATTTAAAAGACCTTAGAGTTCAAGAGGTTTGGAGCAGATGATGGGTTGCATCAATGGAGCTAAACATGCAAATGAATTCAGATCCTGAAGGGATACCAAGAGTTAGACCCCGAACTGGAGAGCAGCAGTGGCTTCAGTTAGATCCTGTACACAGGTGATATGAATGATGTTGGAGTTTTGATGAAGCCTGGGTCAAAATGGGGATTGTTGAATGACTCGGGAGAAGCTGCTCGCCGCGGGGCCTTCCTGCGTGGCGGCATCGCGAGGTCACTGCCTTTGGGTCAGCTTCCTGCCTTGTTCCTTGAGGTCTGGCTCCCGTTAGCCAACTGAATGCTTCAGTCAGTGCACTGAGTGATTCACAGTCACAAATCTAACTGGCATAGGGATAAAAATACGTGACTGGATGTGACGGGCACATTTGCCGGAGGCAGATTTATGTGGGTCAGATCGTTAGAAGCTTCCGTGGTGAATGGGAAAGGTGAACAGGGGTTTTACATATATCGTTAACTTGTTGAATATCACGAGGCCAGAGTCCAACGCGAACACCTCTGAGACACCATCTTCGGGTGAGTCACAGTCTGCAGGCAAAGCCACCCCTTCTGTCACGCCTGCCTGCCTTCGCCGGTCCATGACCACTGGTTCCTGCTCTCTATTCTTGACCCATATCCTACCCCTTTTACCAGGCATGTTTTCACTTGGGTCTGTTGAAATCTTCAGTTTTTCTCAAGCCTAAGAGTCAAATCATCTTTTTATAAAAACAAAATTTGGTACACGGTTTTGCTATGCAGCTTGGACTCGCAGTAACCTTCCCGTCTCAGCATCCCCAGTGCTGGGACCGTAAGCGTGCACCACCACACCCAGTTTTGCTGGCGTGGTGAGCTCGGGGCAGGGCCGGCGTGGCATGTGGTACTGGGACTCAATCCTACATCATTGCTTTTTCCAGCGAGGTGCTTAGACCGCTGAGCTATCCCTTCAGCCCTCAAATCATCTTTTTAAGGTAACTTTACATGTTTTTACTATGACCGCTAGATGTGATACCTTTGTAGGTCACCAGCAATTTGGGGTGGGCATTGCCAGGATCAGGCCTAAAAGATGATTATAGCAGGATATTACTTAAAGAATTTGGGAGCAGTGCTTTAGATTTTTTAAAAAGTTAATCTAAAGAAGAAGACAGCATTAACATTGGTTGCATTCGCTTTGTTGATACATTTTTTTGGCACCGGTGGTCAAACTGAGGGCCTTGCACTTGCCATGCTGATGAGCTGCTTCCTTGGCCCCTTGTTGGTACTTCTGAGGGAAAAAGAAAATGGGAGCTACGGAACAGTTGGCTCACAGCATCTGTGCTCCGCAGGCCTGTGTGGGGAATTGTTACTTGTCATTGGTCTCTTCATCTCCTTTAATCTGTGTTCTGGTCAATTTTATTTCTCAGTCAGCTCCTATCCCTCGCCATGTAGGGTTGACAGCATCCGAAAGGTTTATTGAACAGTGTATTTCATGTGGCACTAGTTTGTATGGAAAGATTATAAATGTCAGTATCAACAAATGCTCAGGTCGAGGTTCTGGTTGGGAAGAAGACAGGACTCCTCTTGCCGGGGCCCCGTGCCTCACGGTTACATCTGTGACAGTGGTGACCAGGCAGTGTCAGGTATACCATTCACCATCAGAGCCACCCATAAAAGACACTAACCCACCTCAGTTTCAGAGAGGGCCAGAGGCTCAGAGCGTTGAATATTACATCTAGGCACTCGGGCTCCAGAGCCCACACTCCAGCCCTCGCCCCACCAGGGTCCCCAGGTGGCCAGCTAAGAACTGGGCTCTCCTGGAGCTGCGGTGGGCAGGCGGGAGGTGGGCGAGCCGGGCACCCACCTAGACTGGCTTGCGCTTCTCCATCGCAGACAGCACCCGGTGTCCGGGGCCTTCCTTACAAGCCACAGCTTGTCCCAGCTGAAAGCCTGACACTTGCTCACCTGAGAAGCCACCACTCTCACTCTGCAGCCCTCTGCTCCCCATCCAAGCATCAGTCTTGCTTCCAACTGCCCAGTGGTTTGCGCTCTGCAGCCTGGTATTAAAGCTTTGCTGAAACAGGCTGCAGAAGCAGCAGGCTTCGTTTTGTTCCAATGCACAGGGAAGAACTTAAGAATGGAAAACCTGTTTTCCTCCAATGGCTCACTTGTCACCACATACCTTCATCCTCACAGAACATTGGGGTCCGGCCTCCTGCAGAGGTCGAGGAACCTGAGGCCCAGAGGTTCCCACAGGTGATCTCCACCTGTGCTGTCCACTGTGTAGCCCTGAGCCACCAGTGGCTGTGCAGTTAGAAGTGAGGTCCTCAGATGCACTCGCCCCTATTGGCACTGCCCTACGGGACTGCACGGAGACTCTTTGAGGAAGCTCCCCCAGGCCGTGCTGTTCTCCAAGGCTGCTGCCTCAGCATGCTGAGCTGTGACAGCTGCTTGTCCTTCCCAACCCCAGGGGCACTGGTCCTAGGGTCCCCACCCACCTTTGGCTTTCTCTGCAGGGCTGCCAGAGTACACAGTGTCTGGTGTTATCACCATTAACAAAACAGAAATCTGAAGTTGTTAGATTTTTTGTTATCTGGGAGTTCCCAGAAGTCCTAGATTGCAACCCCATACTCAGTTGAGCATAGATAAGATGATTCAGGCCAGGGCTGATTTATGGTATGAACCAAAGAATGGCTGTCCCGTGTCCTGGGGTAGAGGAAGGTACAGGAAGACCAGGGCTTGGCACCAGGAGGACTTGAGTGTGGATCCTGACTTTGCAATTCTGTAGCCTAAGCCGGTGATGGCGAACCTCTCAGCTTTCAGTGATACAAATAGCCCCCTGTGGCATGCACTGGCCTAAGCTCTGTTAGCTTCAGGGTCTTCATCTTTAAGATGGGGACAGGTACCACCCAGGCATCCTGCACAGACAGAAGGATCAGCACATGGCGAGCACTCCATTCGTAGCCATGCTGTGGTCCCCTTTTCCAGATTCACCGCCCAACTCCTAGCTGGCTGGAAGGAACGTTAAGCAGTGCCCCCCACAGATACCCCAGGAGCCTCCCCACCCCCCGAGGGATCCAGCTCTTCGTGTGGCCCTGGCACCACTGGTCAGCCAGTAAAACAGCACTGTTCTCCAAGCTCCTTGGGCTTTGCAAGAGGCGCACTGCCTACTGGTGCATGTTGTAATCTGTTCTGCCTAAAGCTGTAAGGAACAGGGTAGTAATTAGGCTCTCTGCATCCGCATAAGCTCAGCACTGGGGAATTTACTAGTTCTACAATTATAGGAAATAAGTCATTAAGGCAGTGTTTACCAGCCTGGGCTTTGTGACACCCCTGAGTATTTCTAGGGCTCTCCAGGAGGTGTATAAAATTTTTCAATCAAAATTTAATCTGAATTCACTTTAATATTTCTTAGAGTGGCACGTGGCACTCTGAGGACAGGAAGAAGCCGCAAGGCCCACAGACTCATGAAGGGGTCAGCTCAGGAGGCTGGGAACGGCTGCCCAGCTGGTCCGCACTCACAGAAGGCATCACGTGGCAAGGTCTAAGTTGTTACAGCGCAAAAGACAGTCACCTGTTGGATCACATCCTTATCAGCTAGGAAATATTTAAAAATGGTATTTATTTTTATTTCAGTATGTCCACTGTGCATTTCCAAAACAGCAGGCTTTTCAAAGAATTGTAAACACAAGATACAACGTGAATTTCTGACTCCCTACCATCATCTTCACAGCGCCACATACTGTACATTCACAGGCGAGGTGCAGCCCGTCACCTACTTTATTTCAATAATTACACAAGCATAATAAATACATCTGATTTTAAAGGTCACTTAAGATGAGTCATGATAAGTTACAGTACAGTACATTTCAGTTCAAGTGCAAAAATAACTATTTGCTTAATTCTCTTTCGGTTACCTCATCTGTAGGCTGCGTTTGCGACAAAGTGCGACCTCCTCCCAGGTGCAGGACTGGGAGAACCGGCGCACTGGAAGCCTCCCACTGAAGCTGCTCCAGCTCGTTGGCCAGAGGCTACAAGGAGCTGCTCCTATCCGGCTGCTCCTTCTCTGTCCTCGGCTCATCCCCAGCTACGATGCACAGCAGAACCCACTTCCCTTCAGCTGCAGCAGCGACCCCTTCCCTCCCGCGCACCCTGAACCTCCCCTTTCATTCTTAGCAGCCAGCTCCCCGCGTGACTCACCCAGCCACTGTTCTGCCTGCAGCTGTAACACACGCAGCTGCATGCGTGGCTCTGAATTACGCAGTGTCTGACCGTGTCCTCCCAGGAAAGGACTACAGAGTCTGATTTCTCTCGTCCTTAGATAGCACTTATCCCCGTCCTGCCCTCGCCTGCTTTCCTGCTGACCACCTCACCAACAAAAGGGACCCACAACATAGTCATGAAAAACCGTATCTCTCTCTAGGCACTTAAATCTTCCACTGCTCTTTGTACAGAGTACTGCTTAAGTAGAGAACCCTTTGGAACGTAGAGAGTTTCGTTTTATTCCATCAGTTCAGTAGAGTTCAAATCACTATAAAATAACAGTGTCAAGGCTGTTACAGCGTCACCACAGTGTATAAACTCTTGTCCATTAAGCCACAGGATACTGTGTTGGTTGTTGTTTTTTTTTTTTTTTTAAATATTCCCTCTTTTCTGGTCATTCTGAAAGCCCATTTAAAATAAAAGGCATTTTTAAAGCTCAGCTTGCAGTAGTTGGTAACAGCTGTTGCTGCTCAAAGAGTTGACTATTTTCCTTGTCATACACATATAAAAATACATTTGCTAGAGACATGAAGGGTTGATGACCACACTTAGCTTTTTTCAAAACAAAAAGCATCTAACTTTTATCTGCTTACTTTTTAAATATGTTTTGTAATTTTTAAATGGTTCTCTTCAAGAGAAACAAAATTATAGATCTATACTTTTTCTTCTCAGTCTGCATGAAGAAGCCAATAATTAGAATAAATAATCAAAAGAGGGAAATTATACTAGATACACGTGGAAAGGAACAGGTAAGTCCCCTGCACTCAGGGTCCCTGGGGCTCACTCCTTACTGCGCCAGCAGAGTGCTTCACACAACCAGCTTGGCCTCGGGTCTCACCCCATGTTTTCCTTTTGTCCTCCACCAGATGACAGAGGTGACCTTTCTGCCAGTATGTACTGTAGCTCAGGTTGTGTATGTATGTGTGTCTGCATGTGTCCACATTAACATTAATGAGTTTAGATATTCAGAAGCGTGAGCAGCGTGTTCTGGGTTGGGGGCCCCACCCTCTGTCCTGGCCAAGGAGCCCACCTCCATGCAGGTGTGAGAGGAGCAGGACGCCCTCAGGGTCCTCCTGCAGTGCGCTGAGCCCCAGGCTCCTCAGGGTCCCCACCTCTGGGGTGGGCAGGGCTGGTCTGCGGTGGAGACGCTGCTAAGGCAGGGGAGGGCTGGTCTCTAGGTGGGTCAGAGTGGGTCTCAGGAGGCACATGCCGGGCTCTGCCTGCCGGAGAGTTTTCCCGATTCTCACTGGTCACCTGGAAGGAAAACATACATGTCCGGCCGTGAGGGACAGCACATACATTAAACCTGTTGCATGTGTTCAAGCCAGACACAGCACACACAGGGAGATCAACCTGAGAGGCCGTTTCAGGGACGCAGTAATAGAGGGCAAGGAGACAATGGCTTACCTTTCGTCTCTTTTCCTATGTGCAACTGCCAGAGCCGCATGAAAAACACAAACACTATAAGCAGACGTGTCCTGTGGATCAAGGAACATTATCACCCCAACACCTGGCGGTCCCAGGCAAGCCACGGACAGCATTACTGCACACCGGCCGCTCGGCAGGTCACTGAAATGCAGGCCTCGGCGAGACCACAGAACTCAACAACTGAGGATGCTCATCTAATGAGGGTGAATAAAGCGCTCTCCTCATCCTGGAGAGAGCTGCGCACAGCATGGCTCGCAATTAAGAGCCCTAATGTATTTCTGACCTATCCCAGCACTCCAAGAGTGAGACAGTAAGACCAAGTATCTACGTGAAAGTGGAGGGATGTAACAGGCACTTATGTGGCCAATACACACCAGTACCTTTTTGTAGAACACCATACTGGTTTTACAAGTTAAGAAACACACAGTTTTTTAAACATGGTTTTTCCTCGAAATTAGAACTTGTAACTTTCTAGGAGATGAATATCCAAAGGGAAAAAAAAAAAGTTTCCATTTTTGTGATTCTCAAATGTAAAACAAAAATCTTAAAAGGTTTTCAATGCTGCATTAACTTAATACGCTCCTGCGAAAGCCAGGACACTGGGAAAGCAGGCACGGTGACCTGAGCGGCCGAGCCGCAGGCGCCACCCCGTCCTGCCCACGCCCTGCTCGCAGCCAGTGGAATCCTCCAGCACTGCTCCTTGGGCAGCGCGGAGCCCTGACGGGGCAGAGGATTCCTGAGTTTACTATCTTAATAAACAGAGGATCATGCACGGGCTGAAGAATTAGACTGGGTTAAAATTATATGAACATTTTATGGTAGTTTACAAAGTCAGATAAATGCAGCTAAGGTATTTCAGTAAGCTCTCTAAAAACGCAACCAGCCAAATTCTTTAGTCTCGCCTCGATTTTTTTCTTCTGGGTTCTCTTTTAAACTATCCTAAATATAGAGCTAACGTGACTCGTCAAGTAAAAGGGAGAGATGAGTTTACAAATGGGGGTGTGGGTTATTCCTTTGGCCGAGCTTCCCCCGGTCATACTTGCTTCCCAAATCACAGCACAGTTCACCTGCGCAAGGTGCTAGCTTTCTCATTCCTCTAGGGAAGAGAAAAATCACACGATTCTATTTTTCAGATGAGGCCCCCAGAGAACCACACTGCCACTGAAGTAGGTTTCCTTCAGAGCCACGTGGTGGTTCAGGTTACTATTCAACCTAAATTAAGAAATAGTTATTGTGCTTGCATTTTATATATTTTATATAATATTCCAACCAGAACTCTGAAATTAGATTAATAAAGATGGTCCCCCAAAGCAAGAACCATATATTCTCACCGAAAGTGGTATCAATTAACACTGAAATTCGTGAGAAATGTACAAGCTTAGAATGGATTCATTGATTTACTGGAAGAGTTACTGTCCCTTGGGAAGGCTTCCTGGGCTCCTAGGTCAGAATTTTCCCTCGGAGGGACCTTGTAGCACAGCGTGTACCTGTGTCATTGCTTTCCCACCAGAACGAGCAAGTCCTGATGGGTGAAGTCATTCACTGAGCATCTGCACGAGACCGTGCGCAAGCTCAGCAGGGGAGGTTACCTGTAGAGGCTGGATCTCAGAAGCCCGGTTTTCTTTCGTCAGTTGCATCATCTCTTTAATTTGGTAGAGTGCGTAGACAAAGGTCACCCAGGGAGAAGAGCTGACCCCCCAGGCTGGCTTGTTCACATCCTCCTGTTCTTCCTGGTGCTTGGTCTTCTTGGGTGGAAGTCTGGGCTCAAGGCGCGGCAGGACATCTTCTGTCTGTTGCTGTACCAAGTCGATGGTTGCTATGGGAACAGGACTGGAGGGAACAGGAATCCTTTCTGCCAACATTGTCTTATCTGGAGAAAAAACAATGTTTAATTATTTCTCAGGGTTTTCTACATATTTAAACAAAGGCCCAAAATAGTAAGTTAGGTACGTATAATCAATCCCAGCTACTCAGGAGGCTGACAAGGGAGGAAAACCAGTTTTGGTATCTTTTTCTGACTAACTCCCTAGGATTAAAATTGATCTCTAGGGGGCTGGGGAGATGGCTCAGTGATAAGTGCTTCCCTGGCAAGCACAAGGGCCTGAGTTCAATCCCTGGTTCTGCAAAAAAAAAAAAAAAAAAAAAAAATTGATCTCTGCAACAAGTAAGTTTTTCTTTCTTTTTTTTTTTAAATATTTATTTATTTTTATTTATTACATTTATTTATAGTGTGTGTGTGTGGCCAGCTCAGCCCACCAGGGGGCGGGGCTGGCTGGCATGTGGTGCTGGGGATCGAACCGCGGTCCCTGTGCTTTGCCAAGCTTGTTTCAAGTAGGTGCTTTAGATCACTGAGCCATCTCTCCAGCCCACAAGTAAGTTTTTCTCAAGAGAAACATTTTGGGTACTTGAGGCCAGTGCTTCTGAGGGAACCCTAGGAAAAGGGTCACCTCTGTGTTGAGAATAAAGTGCTGAGCTACAATTCATGCTTTCTGCTGTGGGTCTTCTTCACCAACAAGGTGACCTGCCTGGATCCCATCCACACCTGTGGTGTTACCTCCTCTTCGTCTAATGATTTTAATACAAGCCATGCGTGGCTCAGAGAAAACTTCAAATTTCAGATTTAGACTTTTTTGGAAAAAATTGGCAAAGGCAGAGAGTAATACCACTCCCTATGCCTGGTAGTAAAACTACTATGAAACGTTGCACGTATTTGACTTGAACTTGAACCCTTACAGACTAATACCAGGGAAACTTAAACCAGTGCTTCCTAGTGCTTTGGATCATCAAACAAAACAAGAAAACCCCGTGCTTCTGGACCACCCACGCTTTTTCAGCCCAGGAGGCAGCTTCTAAGGGGGCACACAGGAGAGTCCACCCATACATCACTGAGAAAACCCAGCCAAGGTACTGGCTTTCCACAGAGCAGTCCTCATGGCTTGAGCCATGAGGAGAATCAAGACAGAATAGAAATGTTTACCTTCCTCCTCATCCGGCACTGCCAGCCACTGTATCAGGGCAAAGAGCAGGAGGATCACCAGGCAGGCCATGCCAATTCCCCGGAAGGTTGCAGCAGCCCCTTTGAAAACAAGCAGCAGACGTTACGGAGATGTTCCCGCAGGTGCAGAGAGCCCTCCTCAAAACTCAGTGTTCTCAAGTTTGGGGCAATGGAAGCACAGCTTTCAATGAGCCAGAGACAAGAGCCCTTCCACCAGCTCAGGGCTTGGGCTGGAGCGGTGGGGGGCTCAGGGGGTGCTGCTGCTGATCAGGTGTAGAACTACATGTCCAAAGGACTGTCACCAAGTCTTCCACTCATGACACACCATGCAGGGGCTCCGCCCTCTTCACAAAGACCACTTCCCACTGTTACGAACAGCCCCACTACTGTGTGCTGCTGGAATGCTGAGCTTCAGGAGTGCTGCAAGTTCTCACGTCACCATACGGTGCCTGAGGAATCACGAACCAGAGGGCACAGTCACCTCATTTCCAGCTATGGATCACCTCCTTAAACTGCCAGGGCATGTGCGCAGCTATGGCTGACTCTGGTCACCTTAACACACTAGACTCATGCTCTGTCATTATGACCACCAAGAAATCGAGAATGAGAACATAAATACTGGAGTTTAGCTTCTGGCCATCTTCAGCAATAACTGGAGCGTTTCTTGAGGGATCGCTGAATAATCAGCTCTTTACCACAGAGAGGGGAGGAAGTGTGTGTGTGTGTGTGTGTGTGTGAGAGAGAGAGAGAGAGAGAGAGAGAGAGAGAGAGAGAGAGAGATCCGTGCTTACCGAAGTAGTTGACCAGCACGCCGCCGATCATGGCACCGCAGCCCCTGCCCAGGCCCAGGTGCAGGCCCTGCAGGATGCCCTGGGCAGATGTCCGCAGCTCAGGGGGCACGGCCGCGCTGAGGTACGAAATACAGGCCGCCCAGATGGCCGCGTGGGTCACCCCTGGGGAGAAGAGCAGAGGGAGGCCGTCTTGCTCAGAACCACTTTGATTATCCTTTCCGGAAAGTGAATTACTTGTTCGGCAAGGCCCTATTTTGTGTATGTACATACATACGCACATGGAGAAATACATACATCACGGTAAAAGACACAGAAGGAAAATTTGCCATTTTAGCAATTTCTGAACACTGCAGATCGGTGGTGGTGAAGACACTCACGTGTCATGCAGCCACTGCAGCTGTCACCTCCAGAACATTTTTTTGTCACCCTAGACTGAAACACAGTGGCTTTTCATCCCTCACCCAGCCCCTCCCTGGCGAACACACTCTCCATCTCCAGCAGGACAGCAACTCCGATCTCTCGAACGGGAAGAACCAGACCTCCTCCTCGTCCAATTACTGCACGTCGTCCTCTGTCTGGCTCACTGCACCTCGTGCAGAGCCTCCGAGGCTCACAAGCCATACCAGGTATCTGAATGTCCTGCCTTTTTAAGGCCGGGTAAAACTGCATCGTATGCCTCCAACACATCTTGTTCACCTTCCTTCCACTGATGGACAGCTGACCTATTCCCACCCTTTGACTATGGTGAATAAAGCTGCTGAGAACGCTGCTGTGGGGGTGTCTCTTTAACTCCGACTTTAGCTCTTTAGGTATCCAGGGGGAGGCACAATGGCCAGACTCTGGTCATTGTATGCTCAATACTCCGAGGGACACCAAGCTACATTCCGCACTATTTTACATTCCCACGAGACACGCGCAAGAGGCATGATTTCTCCACACCCTTGCCAGAACTTATTTCTGTTTTCTCTGAAGTAACCACAATCTTAAAAGAGTATGACGCAGTATCTCACTGTGTTTTTGGATCTGTATTCCTCTACTTACTGGGAAAACCAAGCAGCATTAGGTGCTTATTGGCCATCTGTGTATCTTCTTTAGAAAAAGATCTAGTCAAGTCTTTTGCCTGCTTTTGAATTGGGTTGATTTTTTGGCTTCTGATTTATAGGAGTTCTTTATAGGTCCTGGATATTTAGCCCTCAGGGGTTATATACTTTCATATTAAGATTATTTCTATTGTCCCCATTTAAATTAGCCCCATAGGGCCGGGGAGATAGCTCAGTAGAATAAGTGTTTGCCTGGCAAGCACAAGGGCCTGAGTTCAATCCCTGGTTCCTCAAAAAAAAAAAAAAAAAAAGATTTGCCCATTGGGAGGTTGTAAACAGGCAGATCACTATGAGTCAGATCTAATAGTGAGCCCCTGAAAACCCCGTGGACCCTTCCCTAAAATACAATAAATAATAAATAAATAAGCACCATAACTCACATTTCTGGAGATCCAGCTTTTTCTATACCTTAGACTATCTACTTTATAATTCTGTGAGATTGAGGTTAATGATTCAAAGGACAAAAGCAACTTTTATGCTTCTGAATACAGACTTTGGATTGGTTTTTTAGAGTATAGAGGCAGTTTGCAATGCTTCCTAACTACCTATCTTCAGGATCTCTTGGATAGAACAGAGAAAAGAGCTAACAAGTTTAAAATCATTTTAAGATATGGGAACTGTATCTTGTCTAAACTAAAATCTTCATTGAGACACTGTTTTAAGAGTCATTTTTAAAAGATACTATTACCTTCCGCCACAGCAACCATCGAAGAAGAGTAACCAAGGCCCTCCGCTATCTGTTGCGGGCGCCTCACAAACACACCAAGTTCGTGCAAGACATGATCCAGGAGGTGTGCAGCTTCGCCCCCTACAAGAGGCGCACCATGGAGCTGCTCAAGGTCTCCAAGGCCAAACACATCCTCAAGTTCATCAAGAAAAGGGTGGGGATGCACATCCGCACCTAGAGGAAGCATGAGGAGCTGAGCAACGTGCTGGCCACCATGAGGAAGGCAGCTGCCAAGAAGGACTGAGCCCCTGTGGAGTAAAGCTTTGCAGAAAGTAAGTAATAAAATAAAAATAAAAGATACTATCAAAAAGTTGTATAGCTAGAGGGGATTAAGAAGTCATCCAGTTCTGCCTGGACAGAGCCATGGCTCCCTCTTTAAACAAATACTCTCACTCAGAGATGAGATCATCAGAAGCTCTTAACCTAGGTTTTTGAAAATTAAACTAAATGGTCATGATGCTGGGGAGATAGCTCAGTGGTCTAAGTGCCTGCCTGGCAAACATAAGGACCAGGGTTCGATCCCCGGCACCATATGCTGTGCTCGCCCTGCGCTATGCTGGCCATTAAAACCTGGCATGGTGGCATGTACCTGGTAATCCCAGCACTAGGGAGGCTGAGACAGGAGGATCACTATGAGTCTGAGCTATATAGTGAGACCCTGTACCAAATAAATTAATAAATAAATCTTCAAAAAAATGAAAGTTCAGTATCTTTTAAGATTCCACTTAATATTAGTTGCTTGTAGCCAGACTAGAAAGCAGAGGCTACATTTACTCTTATGATATAATTTAAAAATGGGACAACGCATATGAAAGGAAGTTTTCCTCCGCAATGACCTCCAGCAACGAAGGCCGATCCTGGAGAGACACCAACCAGCGGCACTGCACCCAGTCGGCGACTCCGACAGTGCAGACTTGGAGACTCGCGGGTCGAAGGCCCTAGAAAGCCGAGTCTCGGGCCAGGCAGCTGGAGTGCAGGGCAGAGCGCCAGAGGAGCACGCCCTTGGTACTGCAGAGGGTTCTGGGCGGGTGTATGCATCAACACTCACGGACAGAGAACCCTAGACCCAAGGGGAGACCCACCCAAGAACGTTATGGAGAAGAGGCGTCAGAGCCCACCAAGGCAGGGACAGCATCAGCTGGACAAGCCAGACTGGACAAAGCACGGATCTTGGCTCAGTATTATGAAACAACTGTTCCTGCTGCTGAGCACGGTGGTCAACACCTGTAATCCCGCACTTGGGAGACCAAGGCAGGAGGAGCCAATCCAGACTCCACACTGAGCCCTTGTTTCAAAACCAAACCAGATCAGAACGGCTCTGGCCTGGTAAGTGCTCTGGTCCCACCTAAGAAATCTTTAAAAAGAGACCAAAAGTGATGTAAGCATGTCCCAGAACGAAGTTCAAGAATATTTACTGAAATGTAAACATACCTAGCACCCCAAAAAGGAAAGTTCACAATGTGTGGCATACAGTCAAAAACCACCAGCCAGTGATGATGTTTTTTAATGATCTTACTACACAGATTCACAATGGAGTGAAACACTATTTTCACCGGGCACAACAGATTACGTGCTCACCGCTGAGCAAGAAACAGCGAAGTGTTTTACACGCCTGATACATTTTCATTCATTATTTTAACTAGGTTTTTCCCCTCGTGTTGGGGATTGAACCCCATCCAAACACATGGTAGGCAAGTACTCTACAGCCCTAAGTAGGTTATTTTTTAACTAGAAGATGGACTAAACAGTAGTAACATGCACAATTAATTCTCACAGAAGTCAAATATTTGCTTTATCTTACTAAACAATGAAAATACCCTAGACACTGCCAGCCTTCTCAGAATTAATTCCTCAGCAGCATTTCAATTAGGAATGCTGACACGGTGATACACCGTGGGAATATTGTCATTACATTACGAAAGATGATGTCAACTTTATTTTTAGGTATGCAGAGTCTCATTATCAATACTATAATAAAATTTAAAAGTATACCCAAGAAATAAAATTAGACTATAGTAAAATCTGAATTGCTGATTCATCTTTTAAGATATGATTTCCAGAGACCTGAAACCATATCAAAATTTGTAGGTTAACTTTACTGGTAACCATGTCCAGGCAACCAACTGCAGGACTGACAAGATGGACCTATGTGAGACAGACAGACAGACAGACAGACAGACAGATAATTTTAGATGAAATATAATTCTTGATGTTATTCTCTTACGTGTGTAGGCTTGGATCACCAAATCTTCTGATAATAGGTGTGGTCTGTCTGTCTGTCTGTCTCTGTCTCTCTCTCTCTTTGCCCCCCCCCGTCTCACTCTCCCCCTTATCCCTTCCCCTCCCCTCCCTCCCCATGTCTCCTTCAGAATTTGAGTCATCTAAGATAATTGAAGTATCTTCAGATTTACTTGAGATGCTTTTAAACTATTTTTAGATTTTTTTTTTTACTGGCATAAGTGACAGTTGTAAAAGATTCTCTCCAGTTAGATTTCTACAGTTTTCTTATTGTTTTGAGGGACTGGTTAGATAATTGGGAGATACTTTTTTTTTTTTTTTTTTTAAGTAGCTCAGGGCATCAACTGAAAAAACAAAGGCATATAGTAAGAACTTCTCCTTGGTACTAAAAGCTAGGAAGGAAGCCCACACTGCCTGTATGTATAAGCCATTATTTTCTAGGCAAGATGTAACAATAAATTCATTTCTCTGAAATATCATATCAGTGAAAAAAAAAATCAAATCTATCCCACTTCCTAGAAAAAAAAAACCAGTAATACTAAGCAATCCATAAAAAGATACTGAGTATCACCCTTAAAAGTTGTAGAGTTATGGTTCTTATGCTCTTGAATATACAACTCTCAAGTAATCTTCCTAATCTCAAACACATCTCAGTGTTTTTATTGGGGAAAAAAAGTTGTGTTGAAAAGTGTGTTTTGCTCTTCTAGTTTAATTTGCTTTGTTTGAGGGGGCACCAGGAATTGAACTCAGGACCTCCCACTTGCCAGGCAGGCACTGTGCTGCTGAGTTATATCCCCAGCCCCTCCTCTAGTTTTAAAATAATGAAAAGGCAATCCAGAAATCTAAAAGCCTTCCACCACTTTCCATTATTATAAGGTGAATTAAGGATGTCTCAGCAATTGTGCTACCTACAACAACTTCACTATACCATGCAGGAACTCAACGGTATCGTAAGGCAGGAAAATAAGGCTTCCACCTTCTTCATCTTTTGCGAGAGCAGTAATACATGAGCAGCAGAGGACCACTCTCTGTGATGAGGATGCATACTCAGCAGGCGGCACAGATGGGGCATTTACAGTGGGGTGGCAAGGCAAGCC